CCCACCCCGCCACGCCCCACCCCGCCCCACCTCGCCCCGCCCCAGCACGCACGTGCGGAGCGCAGCGTCGTCGCCCTGCTAATCGGACCACGCCAATGACACTGCAAAAAGAAAAGTTCCGGCCGTTCAGCAACTTTTTTGTCCGCTGCCCCGCAATCAGTGTAGCGGCGCCGGTAAACGGGACACACGCAGGCGGACTGTTTCATTAGGGGGCGTCTTGAATCACGTGACGTCGAAAAGGGGGGGGGGTCGCGGCCATGCATCAGGCCGGGGGAAGGTCGCAATAAGCGGAAAACTTTGGCGGATGTGATTTATGCAGTGTCCTTGCCTCGAGGCGGCACGGCCAGCACGGCCATCCCTACATGCCGGAGACAGCAGCGAGTCATCTCGCGTCTAATCGCTCATCGTATTGATCGCCCCGCTCCGCCCCGCCCCGCCCCGCCCCGCCCGGGGCCTCAGTAATAACATTGTCATTCAGCATGCAAACAGCATGCCTGCAGCAGGGCGGCCAGCGGGCTGCTCGCTGCGTCCGGACGGCGCTCTCTGTCCCTCTCGCACTCGGCGGGGCCCTGGGGGGCCTGGGGGACCCTGCGGGCCGCGCCGTGAGTGCGAGAGGGACAGAGCGACGCTGCCGCGACTGCGGGATGGCGGCCTGGATGGCAGCCTGGATGGCGTGCTGGCGGATGATTCATGTGCTAGATAAGGCATTGACGTCGCCGAGCCTCACGCCTACAGTGTGCTGCCACCCTGCCGCCCTGCCGCGCGAACTGTTGCGCCTTTTTCTATGAAATTCGACGAGTTGTGTTCATTCGGCAGCCCGGGCATGCGAGCAGCGGGGCGGGGTGGGGCGGGGCGGCTCAAAAGCCCGCCGCGCGTCCAAATAATGTATGTCGCCTGCATACCGCGGGCGGGGCGGGGCGGCGCGGCGCGGGGCAATCCCCAATACAAGGCTGGAAAAACAATTCCCGCAAGCCGGTGCCGAAATAATGGAACTGCCGCTCACCTCAGGGCTGCGGGGCCCTGGCGGGGCCCTGGCGGGGCCCTGGCTGGCTGCAGGGCCCGAGCCCTGTTTTTTATTCCGTCCCTATCCGTGTAGTGATTCGCGCGGCCGCCGGGGACGCCCCGCCGCGCCCCGCCGCGCCCCGCGGAACGGGAACGGCACTATGGAAAAGAACAAAAAAAGCATTGCATCGAATACGCATCGAATACGCAGTGAATCTCTCTCCGGACCGGGCCGGGCCGGGCCGGGCTAGCTGGGTTGGCCGTGCTGGCCGGGCTGGCCGGGCCGCGGTATGCGAGGAGGGCCTGAAGATCCCATTCTGCCCCGCGGGGACAGGCGGACGGACGGACGGCCCGCTGATGGAGGGGAAGGGCGAAATCGGACTAGAAGGACGGAACGGGACGATTGTCCGTAACAACTTGGAGAGCGAATGGACGGACATTCGACCTCCTCAGCGCCGCCGGCAAAGCGGCCAAAGCGGCCAAAGCGACGCGCCCAACGACGCAGGCCGTCTCCCTCGCGCCTTTGCGATTCCCGCATGAGTGCGACGGAGACGGAGCGACGAAAGCACTCTTCCGATTCAGCTTGACGGCCTCCTGCGGGTCCTGCAGGTCCTGCGGGACAGGGGCGTTGACGCTCGCGGTGCGGCCAGCTGCCAGGGCCGCGGGCCCCGGGGCCACTCCACTCAGTGACGCACCCCGACGCACCCCGACGCACCCCGAAGCACCCCGACGCAGCGCGCGTGAACTTCCGGGCGGCGCGGCAGGCCTCGCCGAACATTCATATTATATTGGCTGTCGCGAGTTGAAAAGTTGTCCCCTCCGGAATGAGATTGCCTTGCTTCCCCGCAACTTGGTGTGCGCAGTGTTCATGTGGGGCTGCGGCAGGCTGGCTGGGGACGCGAGAAAGCGAAAGGCTGCAGGGCGGAGGCTGCGCGCTGATTCCGACCGGGGCGGCGCCTCCTCGCTCTGTCTCTCTCGCACCTGCGCGCCACGCGCCATGAGCGTGCGCGAGAGAGAGATGGAGAGCTCCCGCTATGAATCAGCCCACTGACGGACGGGGAGCCGAAGGAGGGGAAAGCGGAAGAAGTGGTCCAAACACTATTAGAAGTACCTTAGGGGGCGCGAGCAGGCAGACAGACGGGCTGCCAGGCGGGCAGGCGGGCTGGCAGGCAGGCAGGCAGGCAGGCGGGCAGGCAGGCAGGCAGGCAGGCCCAGATGACCGAACAGATGACCGTCGAGGAGACGCGCCCCGCATGCGACTGCAGTCCCTCACCTGCAACGGCCGGGATCGAGGCCTAGACAGCACTAGCTTGCACTAGCCTCGCTCCGGGGTGCAAGTTGTCGAGGAATCGAGTTTGCCGCGCAAATGTGTGTGCGCTTCGGATTCGGCGCGACGGGCACGGTCCTGGCCGCCACTGTTGATTGGAACCGGATGAAAGGAGGGGCCGGGCCGTGTCGCCTCTCTCGCACGCCCACGCCCCAAGAGTGCGAGAGAGGCTACGCGGCGGTCCTCCGTTCGGAGTCAGCCGGCGACGGCCCCGCCCCGGACCGCGGAGGGTTCGAGAGCTCGGCCGGGCCGCCCCGGCTTGGCCCCGGCGCGCACGTGGACGGGGTGGCTGCAGCCCGTGCAGCCCGAGGCTCAGGACGGACTTGGCTCCAGTTCAAGCGGAGCCAAGCCGAGCCAAGCCGAGCCAAGCCGAGCCACCGCGCGAGCCCAGCCGATGCGACCGGGATCCCCTGCCGATAGGGGATATCCACTAGCAAGGGAGACAACCACCGGGCACACGTGCACACACACACACACACGCACACACGCGCGAGTGTGCCTCCTGGCAAGGAGGGGAGCGATAACGAAGGGAACAGTTTGGAACTCCCTAAAGGTATTACACGCGTGGGCGTAAATGCACACGGGCATTTGGCACAGCCAAAAGAGACAGGGATGCCAACACCGATAAACGAAACGAAAACGGGAAAAACTTACTGTTCATCAGGATGCCAAAGTTTGGATGCGATTCTTCCTCCTCAAAAATATCTCCATCCGTTTTGCGCATCGTTCGTGCGTATTTCGGTGTTTCGCTGTTCGCAGCAGGGTAGGCTCCGCGGGGGCTCAGCTGCCCCGTTCGGGTTGGAGCGTATTTTTAATCCCCTTGGCCATTTATTTCGGCATTCGTCCCGTGACGGCGGGGCGGGCGGGGCGCGTGCAGACGGGTGGGGGCGGGTTTGTGCTGCGGTTAGTTTAAATGCAATCGCAGGCGGACTGGTGGCATTTTCAGTTACAATGTGCCGGATATTTTTTTCACCTGTCTGTCTATCTGTCTGTCTGCCTACCTGTCAGGGTGCTCCTTGCGTGCGATCCCGAATAAAAAGGCTCGTCCGGACGGCACGACTTGAAGTTGATTGGATTGGCCGAAGGTTATAATTACCGCCGCGTTGACGGCGTCCTCGACACGCGACATGGCGGCCGACGACGACGTCCCATCGAGGACTTCGTGCGCCGCCTCCCCCCATATGTGTGGTGCACTGCGAGAAAAAGGATTGACAAAAAATAGTAAAAAGAAGAGCGGGACGGGGTGGCACGTCTTTATCCGCGCAGACGGGCGCGTCAGCAGGATGGTGATTGCAGGGCTGGGCGTGGCGGGGCGGGGCGGGGCGGGGGTGGGGTGCGGGCGGGGTAGGGTCGTCCACCCGCAGGATTTCCATTTCGCTTTCACGCGCGTCGCGTCGTCGCGTCTTGCACTATTCAAGTACAGCGCATGCATGCTGGAGCCTCCAGTGGCTGTTCCAGAAGTGGCCTTCCAGTGGCTGTTCCAGATGTAGCCTTCCAGTGGTGGCCTTTCAGTGGCCGTTCTAGATGTAGCCTTCCAGTGGTGGCCTTTCAGTGGCCGTTCTAGATGTAGCCTTCCAGTGGCTGTTCTAGATGTGCCCTCCAGTGGATTCCCAGTGGCGCCGATCGTGTTTCTAATCCCTGCCGCCCCGTCGCGCGGCGAGGCGCGGCGAGGCGCGGCGAAAAAGCGCTCGGAGGCGTGTCCCCTCGGCGTCCCCCGCGCCGCTGGACCGCGGCGTGTCGCGGGGGAGGCCGCGGGGCCGCGGGGCCACGCCGAGGGTGGCGCTGATTGTCAACATAAATTAGGCTACCAAGTTTGGGTCCCCGGCTAAGTCGTAAAGTTGTGAATCTGTCTGCTCTTGACGGGCCGGAACTGGTGGCCGGAGGGGAAGGGGGCGGGGAAGGAAGGGGCGTGACCGGGGCTGGCAGGCGACACCTTGAGGATGGAGTGCGGCGGCCGAGGCGGCGCGGCGGACTAGAGCGGCGGACGAACCTATTAATGAAACGGCCGAGGAGGCGAGCGGGACAGAGAAAAAGCACCCAGCTTGTCCGGGAGAAAGCCCTATTTTTTTCGTCTTTTTGTTGTGTTTTTTTTCATGAATTTTGCAAAACTTTTCCTTTGTTTTGTCCGCGCCATCGCGCCGTGTCGCTTCCCGGAGGCCGCGCGGTCCGCCCAGGCTGCACGTGCCAGCCTTGATTCCCCTCATCAGGTGGAGGGCGGCGCGGGGCGCAGGGACCGCCGCAAGACCCGCCGCAAGACCCGCCGCGTTACCTCCGGTCCGCCAGGCCCGGCCCCAAACAAACCTTGAGGCGCTCGGTGGCGCCTCAGTAAGCTGTCCCGCCCTCGCGTGTGTGCGATGAGTGAGTGTGATTGTGTATGTGCGAGGGACATCAAACATTCCCCACCATCGGAATGTGGCGCTGGAGGGCAGTGACGCGTGGCCGGCTTGCCGCAGGACACACTCGGGGCGGGCGGGGCGGGGCGGGGCCACTGGCCGCGCGGGCCACTGCGCGTGGCGAGGCACGTCCCCGTCAAAGCACGCTGCGCGGCGAGCGCTTCTGCACCAGCAATAATTATTCCGGCCCCCGGGCAGGCGGAAGTCCCGTGGCTGCCGCGATTATGTCCCGCTCCGTTCCCTGTTTAACCGCCTTTTTCCTGTGTCTTTTTTCGCAGGTACGAGTGCCCCGGCAGCTCCCTGTTGGCGAGAGGCGGAGTGTGAGTACCGCCGCGCGGCCCATTCAGTCCGGTCCTTCTCCCCGCGCGGCTCGGCGTGGCTCGGCGTGGCTCGGCGCCGCGCAGAGCGAGGGCCCCTCGCCTCCAGCCTTCCAGCCTTCCAGCCCGGCCGCGCGGACTCTCTTCCCCTTTTTGCGAAGGCCTCGTCGTTGCGTCGATATTTATGACACTGCGGCGTCCAGCGGTCCCCAATTTAGGACGATGCCACCGAAATCGCCAGCGCCAGGCCCGGGAGGGGGGGGGCGCTCTCCGCCCGTCTCCGCCCCTCGGCCGCAAGCCTTCCGACGGACGGCCTTTGCGTTTAATAAGGCGGAGTCAAGATCAAGGCCGGCCAGACCGGCCAGGCCGGCGGACTGAGAGACAGGGCTGCGCGTGGTGCACGCGGTGGCGGGGGCAGCGCGCGTGCACCGCACACTGCGAGGGCCGAGAGCATGCCGCGCGGAATGAATGGCGAACGCGTCCTTTCCGCGCCAACTTTGATTAACTGCCTTCTAAACGGGACGGCGGATCGATACCCGGCGGCGGCGCTGTGCGTTAGCCGGATTTTTGTTACCGACTGCACGCGCTGCGAGTGCGAGAGAGACAGCTGCCGTTGCCGGGAGCGCCTGCGAAGCGGCGGGTAGGCCGTCCCGCTCGACTCGAGTGCGCGCCCGCTGCCTGCCCTCACGGCGCCCCTCGCCTTGCCAAGCGATTCCGGGGAGTCGTTTCGGCGCTCTGTCTCCCTCGCACGCCGACGGGGCGCCCCGCGAGTGCGACAGAGACGGAGCGACGAATGGATCCTGAGAGTGGCCGCGCAGGCCGCGCTCCAAGTGTTGCTGAGGCCGTGGCGGCTTGGCGTTGGCTTGCCGTTGGCCTGGCGGCCTGGCGGACGCGGCTGCCAAATCCTCGAGGCTTGGCGCGGACGTCTCGTTAGTCGCGGCCCTGGCCCTGGCCCCGCCACACCGCCCTGCCGTGCCTTGACTGGCCCGGCCCGGCCGGCCCGGCGGTCACGTCTTAAGGCTATTTATTTCCCAGTGCCGAGAGCCTCCCGCCGAAGGGCCGACGGGCCGGCGGGTCACAGAAAACGTGTTTCCAAGTAGTGCCAACGCCCTCAGTCTCCCTCTCCCTCTCTCCCTCTCTCTCGCTCTCTCGCTCTCTCTCTCTCTCTATCTCGCTCTCTCTCTCTCTCTCTCTCTCTCTCTCTCTCTCTCTCTCTCTCTCTCTCTCTCTCTCTCTCTCTCTCTCTCTCTCTCTCCCTTGCTCCACGTGAAGAGGACACTTTCCACCGTCCCCCGCTACCTCTAAGTGGCGACGTGCAAGTTGCAGGCAAGGGCATGTCATCGCGATGATCATGTTTTCGTCGGGCCGCTATAGGCGGGAGGCCCCCCTCCCCTCCCCTCCCCAGTGTCTCGGGTAACATGAAAAAGAAGCCTGCTGGGCCGGGACGGCTTTCGCCTGCTTCGCCTTTGGCCGGTCTGCCTGCCTGCCTGCCGGGCTCACAAAGTTTTCCAATCGAAATTTGAGACAGTGCGGCCTTAGCCGGTGTCTTTGTCTCTGATGGATTGCCTGCCGAAAGGTTCGGGGACCTCGTTCTTGTTGGGGCCGGCGGGCCGGAGGCGGAGGGCTGCGGGGCTGCCCCAGTCGCACCAGTCTCCAGCCACCCCGCCTCAGTCTCTCACTCTCGCACCACATCCATCTGGACGGCCATCTGCACTCCGGGGACGCCTTCGGTGACACACACACACACACACACACACAGAGAGAGAGAGAGAGAGAGAGAGGAGAGAGAGAGAGAGAGAGAGAGAGAGAGAGAGAGAGAGAACATTTATGTAAAAGTACATATATCCATAAAGCGTAACTCTGGAGCCAGTGGTGCGGGTTGCAGGTCTGTCCGTCCGTCCGCGTCTAACGAGGTGCTGCCCCTCCTTCCTCCTGGCCTGGTCCTAGTCGGCGCGGCAGGCGGCACCGGGCGTCGTAGACCGTCGCAGACCGTCGTCGTACACACAACTGCAGCGCCGAGTCCTTCCAAGTCCTAACCAACAGGAATAATCGTTAGGGCGACCGTGCCGATGAACAGCGATGCCGCGTGTTTTGCAGTGGCGCGGCCCAGTGGTGCGAGGGAGACGGAGGAACTGCTGGGCCGGCTACAGGCGGTCAGCGCGAGGGGCGAGGAGGCGGGGGGGGGGGGGGGGGGGGGGGTGGGTTCAGGATGCGAGTCAAGTGGGGGGAGGGGGGCGTCAAAGGGGGAGCCGGCAGCGAGGAGGAAATTGCATTTTCAACTTCAAACGGAAGCGTGCTCAGTGTTTTCAGAATTTCGCTTTTACCCCGGCCGCCGCCTCCTTCCCTTTCCTCCGCCGCTTTCCGGGGGGAGGGGGGGGGGCACTCAGGGAGGTGTTGGCGAATCAGAATGCGGTCCACGCCACTGTGGGCGAAAGAGGTGCGCGACGGCCACTGAAGGCGATTGCACGCCTTTCACTGGCGCGGCCTGGCCGGCCTGCAGGCCGATGCCGAGAGTCGTTTCCGTCGCTCTGTCGTCCCCCCGCACCTGCACGGGGCACCCGTGAGTGCGAGAGGGACAGGGTGACGAAGACGACTCTCGGAATCAGTCTGCCGGGGGAGAAGCACGGCGACACGACGACGGGACACGCCGCCAAAATAAAGTAAGCCGCGCTTAGTGCGGTGGGGCCGGCAGGGCTGGGCTGGGCGCCTTTCTCTGGGAGCTGGCCGGGCGAGGAGCGCGAGGAGCGCGGAGCGAAGCGCGGCCCAGATTTGGCGCCGGATAGTAGCAGCTGGCGTCGGGCCGGCGGGCCGGCGGGCCGTCAGGGCCGGACACTGAGGTGTATTTCCCGCCCTATTTTTCAAAGCGGAAGGCAGATTAAAAAGGGCGGGGCGATAACGCCAGCGCCTCTCCTTGACTCATTCCGTCTCTCTCGCTCTCGCGGGCCGCCCCGTCTGGGCGCGAGAGAGACGGGGCGCGGCCGCGCCTGCATTTGTCTGCTCTTGAGTAACGGCGCCGACGTGCCGCTCGTCAGGCCGCCCGGCTCGCCGTCCGGCCCCACGCGTGGCACACTGGAAAACAACGAAAACGCCCCAAAATCCAAAAAGAATCACCAGCGACACGCTGCAGCGACATCGTGAGTGATGGAAGCGTTTTTTGCAGCGCCCTGATGGACGCCGGTTTTAAGTGACACGGACCAACAAGCCCGGCCGTCCCGTCCCACTGTGTCGTTATCGCAGACTTCCTTTTCGAGTATCGGGGCGGCCAAAACGCCTCCAGGCCGGTGGCCGTGAACGCCGTGAACTTGAACGGCACAGCGCGACGACTCCGGACGCCAACCAGGTCTTAGCCCCTCGTCGCACCCACGGCCGCGTTCGAAGTCACCTCTTGATAATATTCCACCCCGCCGCCCGCTGGCGGAGTGCCGCCCGGAAAATCTCTTCTCCGCTTTCCCTCTCTCCAAGGATTTTTCATACATTTTTTCCAACCAACAATTTCCTGCTGTCCCTCCCCTTTTTTTCGGCACATTCGCCGTGTCAGATTTGAGGCCGCTCCATGAACTGTTTCCTCCGGCAGAGTAAGCCCAGCCTGGCGCCTCCCTTATCCCTTTGGCTCCCTCTGCCTCCCTTTGGCTCCATGCTGCATCCTCCTGAGGTATTCGCAGCGTAATTGTTTTGACAGGCCTGATAAGCCGGCCTGTTATTGCATTGTTTTGTTCTCGTGCCAGTCACGCTATCAGGCCGGCCGGGGCCATGTGTGAGTGTGTGTGTGCGTGCGCGCTTGGAATAAAAGAATTAGCCGCGCGTCCCTGCGACTGCCATACGCACGCAGCACCGCCGCCGCGCTATCACCAAGTTTGCCGTTCCTTTTATTTATTCATTTACTTATTTATTTATTTACTTCCATGCGTGCGCCTCTTTTTGCTCGCGTAGTTCTTTTATCGCGCTGCTGCCGCTTTTTGTAGCCCGCCTCGTCTCCATGGATTCAAAAACAAAATTATCTCTACACAGAAAGCGGAGCACTCTCTCGACAATTCTGACCAACGCTGTGAATTTGTCAGTTTCGGTGATTTTGAACCACACGTTTCGCGGTTCCACGCGGCAAAAAAAAGGTTCTTGTTTTTTTTTTTTTTTTCAGAGATCCTATGGTGAAGCCATAGGCGATTTCCAGGGAGCCCCAAGGAGAACCAGGAGCCGTTTTTGCCGTGGAGCTTTACCACGCTGCAAACTGGACTTGATTTTAGTCCATTCGAACAGAGCGGCGGTGTTTTTTGAATGCGGCGCCAGCGAGGCGGAAACGGAATTAGCGCGTGCTGCGTGCGGCGCTGCGTGCCGCGCTGCGTGATACGGGTGCCGCGTGCAATCTCCATTGCCGCGCGGAGATGCGGGCGGGGTTCGGCCCTGCGGGCAACACAAACAATGGCGCATCGGCCACGCAGGGCGCAGGCGGCGCAGGCCTGATTACTGAACGACGTGCTAATGGCGAGGCTAGGCACGCAAGACGGGATGGATGTGCCGGGCCGAACCCCGCGGGGACCAAATTCGGATCCGATCGGGACTAACGCGTCGATTCGGCGTCAAGCGGGCTAAATTTTATTAGATCAATTCAAGTTCAACTCATAAAGTTTCAGTGGGTTCGTGATTTTATTCAGGGAATGGTCACTCAACCAGGTCGTGACCGCACAGAAACAACTCACAAAAACTGAAACATAAAAAAAACATTGAAAAGTTTGTATTAGTTTCGCCGCGCTGCCAACTGGAATCAAGCAAAATTTCATTTCCATCGAAAGGCTGTCCTGCTCCGGAGCAAAAGTCTGTACCTTTTTTTTTCGGCACAGGGGAAATCCAGAAGTCCTTTTTTTATTCTTATTTGGCGTGCGCGTCTGTCGCTGCAAACCACGTTTGCATAGCTTTGGGCCGCGGTGTGGGCGAGGGGCCGGCCGGCCGCTGTCCCCTCCGCGGCGCAACGTTCGACACGCAGACAGCATGGCCGGGCGGCCGGGCCG